CTTTTTTATGGATAGATGTAATCCATCCTTCTTTCCAACTTTGTGGCACTGGTTCTCCGTGCAAGTGCCTATTGAAAACTTCTGTTAGTATCTCGAATAGTTTGTTGTAAAAACTACATAATGCGTAAAATGGGAAAAGTGCTTAGGTGTGAAAAATATTTAACGGATGTTAGACGCCAATCCATCGCAGATAAAGTGATAAAGTGACTTCTAGTTATTCTACACTAAGAAAAGTCAAAGAATTATATTTTTATTTTATATTTTAAAACAATATGTTCATTTCTGGAACATATATATATATATATATATATATATTATATATATATATATATATATACTCATAATGTACTCATAATATGTGTGGTACTCATAATGTAAAAAATTTTTAGATGAACTGATGATGCTATCAGAATTCGATAGCGAAACGTCTTCAAAATAGATGAAGTAGTAACAACTTTGTCTTTTATTTCTCCACCTAGTTGACCGATAATTGAACCCACCACTCATCTGAGTGATCCTTATTTATATATATATATATATATATATATATATATATATATATATATATATATTATATATATATATATATATATATATATATATATATATATATATATGTTTTAAAGAGCCAGTTAGGCAATTTTATTCCGGTTGCTTCTGTGGCTAAACATTTTCGCTGTTGGATTTGAACATTTCGGTTGTTATCACATCTGGCCTATCGAGTACAAAATGCAAATAGACTGGCGGGATGCCTTAATAACACTATATGGCAAACAGACACATTAACCCTGAGATTAAATTATAATTTATAAAGCCAGTGTAAGAACAATAATGAAATATGCCTCAAAAACAAGACCAGGCACAGCCACAACGCAAAGGCTACTGAAAACGGCAGAGATGAGAGTACTGAGAAGAACTACAGAAAATACGATGAGAGATCAAAAGAGAAGTGAAGACATTAGAAGAAAAAGTAACGTACAGTGTATAAATAAATGGACACAAAATAGATAAAAAAGAATGGAATAACCACATAAGCAGAATGGAGGAGACCCGTGTTGTCAAAATAGCAAGAGATAAGTCACCAATCGGCAGAAGTATCAGAAGACTGCGCAAAAGAGAGAGTGACAACCTTCCATAGAGGTATTAATCCGCCAATAAACAAGCAGAATTGGTTATAAAGAGGAAGAAGAAGAAGAAGAACAAGATATCTGACCTGGTGCTTAGTTGTAATTAAGTTTATTTACTACTAGTTTTATTTTATTCTCGGGTATATTAGGTTCTTCTTCGATTTCTGCAGGGGTTTGGTGAACAAATTTTTGTGCAATTTTTTGTGTAATTAAGATTGTAACAACGATTATTTATTTTCAGGTAAACCCTTTATGTTAAAGAAAGTAAAAATACATATGCTGTTTATTCCAAATTGCAATTAAATATCACTTCTAATTTAAATTCTATACCAACCACAAATTTGGTTAATATACAATCTTGGCAGTCTCCAAATATGTCTCAATTACAAGACTTATTTTCGACCTGTCCAAAAACAACAATACGCCGCTATTGAAAGAAGAGTAAAACGAACTGTATAAATATTATTTGTATAGAAGAATACTGAAAACAACAAACCTCAATACAAATGAAATCCTATTTTCACATGAAATTTATCAATCTCTCGAACACCTGACTCAACACTAGTTGTTACTCTCTCATACATGTCGTTCTCTTTCTCACAATCTTTAAATACTTGCGTTTTTTGCTTAGCGCCCACCACAGAACCTCTTAAGAAAATCTATCGTACGCTTTTTTAAGATCAATAAATACCAGTTAAGGGTATTTTCTTTATTTCTGTATTTTTTATATGCTGCCTTATAATGAAAATTGCATCTGTTGTGGATCTGCCTGATCTGGCTGATTTTGCTAATTTTCAGATATTTCGGTTTCTTCAGGTATCTGTCTATCAATTACTCTCTTTCATATATCATACCATATTTTTATGGTATGATAAGTAGTTTTATAACTCTACAATTTGTGCATATACAGGTATAGACAGATTTTTCCTCAGGTATATTAATACTGCTTCTCTTTTCTCTGGCATTTGCCTTACCTCCACAATTCTATTAAAAAAGCTATTAGCCAACTTATTCCTGACTCTCTTAAAGCTCTCCACACTTCCTTAGGGATATTATCTGATCCAATTGCTTTACATTTATTGATTTTTTAAAGTGCTTGAGCAATTGCCTCGTTTGTTATTTTGGTGACCAATGTTTTTAAAACCTTTTGCTTTCTTTGCTCTATGTCTAGCTATTCTTTAACACTTCACAGACTAATATAAGAAGAGAAAAACACAATTTAAAATTGAAAGGTAATGCTGGGAGCCTTGTTGTATATGGAGTGGGCTAGCGACAACACTTTGATAATATTCATAACCAATACCTTGAGACGCACAGGAGTCGACGATATTTGTCTAAACTGGATAGAATCTATCTCCAGCAATAGAGTTGTAAAATACCACCATTTTTAGAGAGACCGTGTTAGCCCGGGTCGACAGAGGACCCACAGGGGGAGTTATGTCCCCACTGCTGTGAAATCTGGTCATGGGTGGACTAATAAGGGCTTTAAAGACAAATGATCATAGAAAAATTGGATAAGTGGATGATTTGGTAATCAACGTTAAGGAAAGTATAATACGGTAGTCAAAGATTGTGTTAACGAGGTCCTAGAGCTAGTGAGACAATAGACTTATTTGGAGGGGCTTAATAAATATAAGTCTCCACACATCCACCATAGGTGCTATCATACACAGACGAAAATTACAGAGATTGAGTCCTTTAAAGCTACTGGAACAATAAATTCAGCTAAAGGGAGAGGTAAGGTATCACGGGGTTATACTTTAGAAATAATATCAAACAGTGCAGGAAAACGCTTATGCGGGTCAGACGCATATATAAAAAGAAATGGGGCTTTAAACTGGATATTATTCACTGCGTGTATACCATGGTGATCAAACTCTCAATTACCTATGTAGCGACGATGTGGTAGACTGAGATACTTCAAACAGCTGCAAAAGCTAAACTAAGCAGAAGCAAAGACGCATATATTGCTATTGCATATATTCTAACTGATGCCATTAGCACTACTTTAACTGCAGCTATAGAGGCTGTACTAGGCTTGCCTCCCTTGAATTTAATAATACAAAAAAAGATAAGATTGGGGCCTACATAATAAAGCAATTTCCAAAACTTCACAATGGAAGGACAGGGCATATGATTATCAAGGAAGGAACTCAAGGAAATGAAGGAATGTGATGATGGACTTTAATGCGAAACCGGATCTCATGACAAAAAGATTTTACAGAATTTTACAAATTTAAGAATACGTACAGGGTGTCTATTCCATAGAGCAATATATGGACAAACAAAATGGATTAAAGGTTAAAAATGGTGTGGGAGTAGGAATGTACTCCAACAATCCAAAAATTAGAGAAAGCTTTGCCATGGAGAGTTATCAAGCGTTGATATGGACAGTTATCAAGCGTTGATTTATGTAATACTGCAAAATGCAAAAGGAAATAATGAAAGAGTACTTTAAAAAGAGCAAATCCACATATTGTTTGACAATTAAGCGGCACTGGTGCCTCAGAAAGTGACGTCAGGCTGCTGTGGGACTGCATCACAAAACTGAATAAACTGGGAGACCGAAACAAGGTTTAGCTGGTCTGGATACGAGCTGAAAGCAGATCAACTTGGTAAAACGGGATCCAACAGATCAAACGGACCGGCTATAACACTGGAAGTACCAAAAGCTGAAGTACATAGAGATGTACAGAAATGGCTCCAAGAAAGTTATAAGCGATATTGGGTGAGAATCCCAAACAAACACATAGAAAAATCTTTATTGGTGGTTTCTCTACAGAAAGAACAAAGGAACTGCTCCATATGGTCAGGAACACACTGAGAACAGTAACAGGAATGTTGATTGGACATGCACCAGTATGATAATTCCTAATTATGCATTGAATATAAATTGGGTTTTATTATAGAGACCTTAACTACGATCAGCAACCCGAAACTGTAAAACATAGACCCATTACGAGACGCTGGACAGCAAAAGACCAGAACTATGTGGACAATCAAAAAGAGACCCTGGTATATTTAGGACACACCGAGAAAAAGACCTGTACAAATTTCTACAGGGGGTAGGAAACAATAATGAGTAGCAAAAACAATAATCTCCAGCTTCAGTAATAAGGAGATCTTCTGGATCAGATAGGCCCAGCAAAGAAAAAAAAATAATACAATTTTTAAAATAACCAAATTGTATCTTAGGATTTAACGTTCACTGCGTTATTATTGAAGAAATTTCTTGATTAGATTTTTCTTTAAGACAATTTTGTTATTATTTGAACTCAATTTTATTGCAAGGATATAAATACAGTACGTGAATACCTTTTATTATTATCATAAATTCATAATTCTATTATAAATCTGGGAAATCGGGGAGAAACCCCTAATACCAGCTCTACCTAGGAAGAATTCTTTTAATTACTTGTTTGTTCCTACCATCTATATCGGATTATATTTCATTTTAAACATTTAAATTGTATGGTAAGATACTTTCTATTGCCAAAATTTGTTTGTTTATTTTAATTATGTTTCATATTTCATTATTTTTAAAATATTAATGTTCATGATATTGTCTGAAGCTCACTTTTCTTTCTGATAGTATATTTGTTCTCGAGATTATATAAGTGATTAAAGAGTTTGTTTTTTGTAGTTTTGCTTACCCTTTCTCAAAATATTTTTTATCTGGTATATCTTTTATTATCTTTTTCGGCATTTGTTATTTCGGCATTTATATGAAAAAAAAATGCGTCAAAAATAAGCAAACCTTTAGATCATTTTTAGTAGATTGTTAACCCATCAAAATTGTCTAAAATTCTTTATATTTTAACATATTTATTTAACAGACTAGCGATGCACTCTACGTGTGTAAGAGGGAGACAACTACACATTACCTGAGTGATGATGTTTCGGTGTAGGCCAAATTTGCAGAAGATACTTAAGGACGCTGATTGGTTGCTGGTAATCGATATCGTGCGATTTGGTAGCAGTCGTTGGGGTTATAGAATCACTTGTTTGCAACATTAATGGGGGAGCTAGGGCAGTTGCTAAATTTTGGGCAGACATTTTGTTACGATCTGACGCAGATACGACTAAAGCTAGGTGATCCATAAGGAATATTAAAGTAGCCTGAAAAAGATCACAGATATTACATAAAGACATTATATAAATACTATATAAAATATTAATAGTTTTACATATATTGACCATATAAATATGTAGTTTTTGTAATAAAGTAAACGCAATAAAAATCTTGGCATAATTAAAAAATATCTTTTTAAAGAATGTTCCCTTTTTCTTACCTATTTCCTAATTTTGTTTGAGCTGCAGTTGTTTATAAACTAGTTCGAATTTATATCTCTCAACGGCTATTCCTCAAAAACATTAAAAATTAAAGGAACTATAAATAAAAAATGAAATAAAATAAAATAATAATAACTTAAAAAAATATTAATAAAATCAATATAAAGTAAATCAAATAATAATATAAACAAGAGGCTCAAAACTAACAAATGATAAATATTAAATATATACAAGAGTAAAAGAATTTAGTAAAAGTTTAGAAATTATGTTTTTGGTCAATAACATGGTACAACATAAGCTGCAGATAAATAGACTGCAAACTGAGGAGCCGTATGGTATATGTAACGGTACTGGGAGATAGGTACTACTCCTGGTACAAAGAATAACAGGTATGATACTCCCGAGTTCGAAATTATGGTGAATTCGCGCATTACGTCACAATGACAGTGATTTTAAATAATCCCCGTAAGAACATCGGTGCTTGCATTTTTAATTAGCAATTAAAATTTATTTTATAGATAATAGAATTTCTCTTAAACTATTTTGGATTTAATGAAATATAGGTGTTTTATTATTTTGATTTAAAAAATTAATAAATAATAAAGTGAACAAAAATAAATCTGAGGGTTAAGTTACAATTTTCTTTAATTTTCTCTTTCTTTTTATACTTTCTTTAAGTGTTAGGTTTAACTTCTTAATTCTAAAATATATTTGAGAGCGAAAATGATTGTGTAATTATCTGTTCCACAATCCGCTTCGAGTCTCTTTTGCAAAGTCTATCCTGCCTTTTAAGTTGATTTATGAATAAACGTTTCGATTATGGCAGATAAAGAAAAGGAACAGCATTACTTTTTAGCTTAGGTACTTTCTTTAATTCATATTACAGCAATTCATGAAGTATTTGGAACAAATCCTTGAGTTTTAAGTATTAAATTGGTCTTCACGACAACAAGCAATACCCCACAGTTTTCCACTACCGGGTCCTTGAGAAAACCATGAAACCTACCAGATTTATCCGCATCTCTTGTCTGATTATGACTTAAATACCCAGCTACTACATAACGCATTTTATGTTTAGCTTATAAATTGTTCCTAGCTAAAGTCACTAAAAAATGCAGGAGTGGTATGATTATGGTTGGGTATTAAGCACTGACTCAATAAGCAAGCAATTTGATTGAACCCAGCCTATGAGACATGTTCACCCAGGTAAAACGATCGGGTGTAACAATTCATTGGAGCAAGGTGTTTTAATTCGTGTTTAAAAACAGGAATCACCCCACCGTGCTCCAATGCTCTAGACCATCCCTTTCCCCCCTATAGCAATCTGATTCGCTATAGAGGCACAACAATCAGCCTAGTGCTCTTCATGTGGAGGTCCTGGGTAATTGAACCCCAACATGGTTTCCTAACCGTATGTGAAAACTCAGGACAGCGCATCTCCGCTTTATTCCTGTTTATCTTAATGTAGTTTATCCGCGACTGACTCAATAACGGTTAACCATACCTTATTTATACCTTCTAAAACCCCAAATTATTGTTTATATATAAAAGTAGGTATGCTTCATTCAGAATTATAAGAACTGACTTATATATAATTTAAAAGTATCCCGCTGATAAAGTCTAAGCCATCAAGGGATTTGCCTCTTCAGGTAAATAGTAAAAAGGGCCGGCTTAACGAATTTTATAATTTATTTGGCATTAATATTACATATTTAATTTAAATAAATATCTAGATAATTAAGGAAAAAAACACATAAACTGATGGAGTATTAGAATTAATTAATTATTATATTTTTCTGCGTCGATTCTTTATTAAATAAATCCAAATTTTGAAAGCAATAAACAATTTTTGTTGTGTTAAATAAATTTCAAGTGAAATAATAAAATAGTGAAGTGAAAATTAAAATGAATTAATGGTGGTAGGTATATATGTACATATAGCTGAATATAATTATATTTTATATTTCATGTAAGGGAAGAAGTTTTTCAATTGTTAGTAAGGTATAAAGTATGTCTGAAAAAAGTTGGCAACAAATGTGAAATTTCTTTATTATTAATTTCATGAAAAAAACTATTCTTCATAAAAATTTCTGCATTCCATAGAAATCAATAATCAATAATCAAATTTATAAAATTTTAAGTGGTATACAGCGAAAATCAAAAATATTGATTTATGCTTAAAAGTGAATTGCTTTTAAATTTAGGTACAGAACAAAATTTCATTTTAATTTGGTTGTAGGAATTAAAAATTATATTTCAATTTAGATTCATGGCCTTTTAATGATGTGTCAGTAGGTACACTAATTTTTAATTTCATTTCTAATTTGCATTATTCAACATACAAAATCAACAAATGAAAAAGTAGTTTTTTATTTACTTTTTACTTTAAATGTTTTATTTAATTATTAGCAGGTCATGAATCTAAACTTGAACATAATTTTTAATACTTACTGCATATCTAAGTTTAAAATCACTTTCCTCTTCAGTATTAATCAACAATTTTGATTTTTCCTATCTACCACTTAATATTTTATAAGATTATTGATAAATGATATCTATGTGATTCATAAGCTTAAATAAAGAATAATTTTTTTTCATGAAATTATTAATAAAGAAATTTCCCATTTTTTGCCAACTTTTTTAGACATGAAACGGAAAACCTAAACATAACTGTTCAACACGAATAAATATAAACCTTTTAAAACGAGTAAATTAGCGTCTCTTTGTAAAGACAATGAAGTCGACTTTACTAAAGCAACAAGATATTTACTTAACACAGACACTACACATTACTCTTCTGAGTTAGTGATAAGTTATGGTCTAAAAAAATCATTATGAAATTAGAGCCATGGTCAATAAAACACAAAACACACACACACACACACACACACACACACACACACACACACAAAACGAGTATAAATATTACATCACATAGATATTATGTCAAATCTATGTCACTATCACTGTCGTCTCTTCAATTGATGATATTTTTTATATTATGTGTAGTAAAATATGAATTCTCAACTTTGGTGATATGTGAGGCATTTTTCAATTTTTCGCATCGAGTACTTCCCTTAGTGCATCCTTAGATGCATCTTTCCTGCATCAATTAGATGCAGGACAGATGCATTTAAATGTATCGAAGTATTATTTTTTCGAATTCTTGACTTAAGTTGATGCCATATATGTTCGATTGGGTTAAATAGACAGTAATATGGCGGAAGTGTTAAAGTCGTATGACCCATATTTTCGGCATAATTATCACAAAAGTATTCTTTTTTCAATGTGAAAGTTTTTAGAATGTCCAATAAATCCTTCTTAGTATTAATTATGTGAAAATAAATATCTTTGTCATATAAGTAATTCTGGATTGTTATTTTCGTATCGCTTGAACTGGGAATTTTATTTAATTGCCTACTATGATATGTTGCATTATCCATAACTATAACACTATTAGGGGGAATGTTGGGTATAAACTTATTTTTAAACCAGTCTTTAAATATATCTGTATGTTTAAGTTGTGTTTTATGGTAATCGAGAAATGAATCACTGATGTTTTTAGCTGATAAGAGATAAGGCATTTGGAACAGATCCATCGACTGATCCAGCATAGAATATTGTTATTCTTTTTCCTCCATCAGAAGGGGCTTTTGTTGAACAAGATTGACTTTTATCTACCCAACCTTTAGATGGCGTATCGTGAGTATCCAACCACGTTTCATTTAAATAAATAAAAGGTTGATTCTCTCGACGATACTGTTTAATTTTGTTTAAATATTCCGTTCGCCATATCCGTAAACGATAGGATTTCATAAGTGCCTGTCTTTTATCTACTGTTTTTTGTATTTAAACCCAATACGTTGCAAACACTTCCAAATAGTTGTTATACCGCACTTAATTTCAGTGTTGTCGACGGGAAGCCTGTCAATTAATATATTTAGTGTGGGTACAATTTGTTCTTCATACAAGGCATATACTTTGCAACTAATAAGATCTTCATCTGTACGATCGAGCTTCCGACAAATACTGTTATCCCGTCTTGTTAATCTTGGTAGAGACGTTTTCATCGTTCTTGGCGTGTGCGTGTAAAAACACTTGCAATAAGTTGTTTCATCTGTATTTGATTGTCTAAGCTCGATTCGTTTACCTCCTCCAGTGGCAGCTATCTGTATTCGTAAATAGGCCGAACTTATCACCGACACCGTATCGGCCAAACGCATCGGTGTTATGCTACAATACTGGAAGACGTGAGTGGTCTCTTGATTCCCTTCTCATCGCACTTTACCATGACGAACGTGACTCGCACAATTGAATTACGCATCTGTGTATCAAAGAGAGACGAATATTAAAATTTTCGTAGTAGCTTATTTCCGGCACACGCCAAGAACGATGAAACCGAGTATATAATAGGATTACTTACAATTTTTCTGACTGTGGATAATGGCCGGTCCAGTCAATTAGACTAAATTAAGATCTTCTTAATTTATAGCGTATTTTCTTAGTTGAGACTTAAATAATGATTAATAAAAGAATACAATAATTATGGGAAATTTGTATGTTTATAAAAAGAGTTTTTTGACATTACGCTTGAATGATAATATTTGATCTGATTATATGTATCTACCTACAGTTGACTTGGCTATTGGCCGGTCCTGTCAGATTGGGTAGCTGTAATAATTATACAACAATAGAGTATTTACAAGGGATTATTTAGTTTTACAGCTGTTATTAAAATACCTTTTATAATGAGACACTAAATTTCTGGATACAATATATACCTACAAAGCTACTATCACTTATAAAATCGTATAAAGAGTTCAAAATATTTCTAATATTAATTTTTTTGCACTGAAAAGCCTACAAATCAACAAATCAATCATTTAACACTCCCACAAAACACCATAAAATCTGCAACAAGCTTATTAAAGAAGCCAAAAGCTAAAACATTGATAAAATTTCCGTTATAAGCAGATATATTATAACGACGGTAACTCTCATTGTGACGTCAATAATAGAGGATCTGCTAACAGTGGTCTGCGCAATATCATACCTGTTATTCTTTGTTCCATGGGTACTACCTACTTCTACTGCAAAATTTACTGCAGACAATAAAAAAAATAACATAAAAAATGTAAATTATACCGATAGGGGACAAACAAAGTATCAACTTTTTCACCTTTTATCACCTTTTCCGGAGTTTTCTAAAGTCCAGCTAGCATGTGGCTCAACCCAAGCACTTACCAAACTAAGGTCTTTAGGCGCTTACTAACTTTAAGTACTCAATCTATGTGTCAATTTTAAAATTTACAATGGGCTATATCTCACGAAGAAAAGATGATATCGAAAAATGTTGGAAACCGTTTCTAGGATAGTAAGGGGGAACTAAAATGACATGAAGAAAAACTCACCTTTATCAACCCCCTAGGCCCCACCCACCTCAAGCAAAAATGTTTAAATTGCAGACCCTAATTGTGATACATTATTGAAATGACTCATAAGTCCAAGGGCATAAATAATAATTATACAGGGTGAAGCAATAATTGTAAAACTTGGGCTTAAATGGAAAATTTAATGATATTTTGTTGATTCTGTTGATGACCCTGTATAATTATTGTTTAATAATTATAAGGGGTGTTAATATCAGCCGGCTTACTATGACTTTTGTATTTGTAATGCTATCTCCCGGACTATTATTTTAATAATAAGTGCCCGTCGGATTTTTTTGTTAAATAAAAACTTAATTTACCGTTTTTGCAAAACAAGTTGAAAACATCTGTTTTTTGGGTTCTGTCAGATTCAATAATTTTTGGTTTATTTGAGAATTTTAAATGTCATTAGTTTTCATCATTTGTACGATCGGTATTGTGATTCAGCTGTAGTTGTCAGATTACTGAATGAACATCCCAAATTAAGGTCCTTTAAAATTTTACAAAAGAGCCTACTGCATCAGCACGTCAATTATCTGCAATGTCAGGACTTTCACATCAGTCGGTTAGAAAGGTGTTGAAATTACATAAGTTTCACCGGTACAAAGCATAAATTCTTCAAGAACTAGACGATGATGATACAGACCGAGGAACTGAGTTTTGTGAACTCATGACTGAAAGAATTGGCGTTGAACCGAAAATTTTAAAAAATATTTGTTTCACTGATGAATGTACTTTTATGATGAATGGTAATGTAAATAAACAAAACTGTCGGTATTGGAGTTTTTCGATCCTAATTTGTAGAAAACATTTGTTGTCAATATTAATTTCCCTGCACTCAATATTCTCTTCCCTCGTTAGAAGATACATAATAACACGCTATCTTTTCTGGATGTTTTAATCTCTAAGAACGATACTGGATATGAGACTCAGGTGTATAGAAAACCAACACACACCAATAGATATTTAAATTTCAAATCAAATCACAATATTAATGTAAAAAAGGGAATAATTAAATCCTTATACGATAGAGCCAAAATTACTTGTTCTAACGAAAATTCGTTCTTGGAGGAGAAACATTTGTTAACATCTGTTTTATTAGAAAATGATGATCCTTTATCGTTTATAAATAAGGAATTTTCAACAATCGATCGAATAGAACAGAACAACTTAGAACGAGATCCTACAGCATACACAAGGAATAATATGAGGAAAATAACAATACCGTACATAAAAGGATTATCAGAAAAACTTAAAAGGATAGGAAATAAATTCAACATTTCAACAACATTCAAAACAACAAACACGTTGAGATCTATTTTGTCCAAAACCAAACCTAACAATGAATAAGAAAGGACAAAGAATTGCATTTATAAAATACCTTGTGAATCCTATCAGTTTTATTTAGGTAAATCATCAAGGCCATTAAATGTTAGAATTAGATGAACATCAATCTTATAATAGAAATAGAGAATTTGATAGATCTCAAATATGTAAACACGCATGGGATAATGAACATAGGGTTCAATGGATTAATTCAAATATATTCCTAAAAGAAACGGATGGTAAAAAAAGAAAAATCAAAGAAGCGGCTCTAATTATGCTAAATGAGGCCAATTGTATCGCAAATTCCTCGGCAGAATGTAGTAGGATCTAGTTACCAATATTGAAAGAGGAATTTATTAATAAGAAAATACCAGTATTAGTAAGTCAGTAACATATAGAGGATACATCATTTATGTTTTTTAAATAACGTAACATATAAAATCAGAATTTTGATGTTTGTTGAAGGTAAACTAAATTCACGAACAAATACTTACAATGTCGAGATAGTATTATGAGGTTTTTTTCCTGGTTTTTCTCTCATAATTTACTATGGAATCACTAACAGGAGAATTTTACTGTCATCACATCATGTGTTTGTCTGTTTAAAGACGAATTATATGCTATGATTTTTGTCTGACGGATATTCTCAAGTTAAAGTTGATTTCATGTAATCGAATGAACTATCTTATAGTAAAGTCGTCCCAGGAGCGCAACTCAACAATATTGGCAATATCATTTTAAAGTCGTCTACTTTAAAATGCATAATGTATGTCTGAATTGTCAATATAAATGAGTCAGATAAAATTAAATTATTAGAAGAATTTTTCACAATGTAACAAAAAACAAAATTTGTTTAATTTACTGTTTGTATTTTGAGAACGATTTCCGAAGTGGAAATTGAAACGTCAATAAACGTATTTTTATCTTTAATTGTGGCTTATTCCCAGTTAAATAGTAATTAAAAAGTAGTTTTGGAATTAAAATAAGGCGCGACGAGTTAGTTAGCTTCAAGACATTAAGCCAGCCACTCCAGCCGATAAAAAATACATTTTTTACGAATCTTACGTTCGCTTAGGTTGGGTGCTGATACAGTTGTATTTCGCAATTAAAATAACGAAAATTTAAAATCGCCTTATTTAATGTGAATTTCCTACAGCCGATCCAATCGTCAAAAAAGATAGGACATCACAGAAAGTGCTCAAACGCCCGTTGGCTTTTTACAGTCCTCCAACAAAAAAGTGTGACAGGAGCAAACAGGAGTGATACGAACCCTCGTATCACTCCTGTATCGATTCCGAGAAGGAATATTAGGCGATGCTATAATTGGCCCCTTGTTCATATCAGGTAATTTAAGTGGCTAAATTCATTTCTATATGCTGAAAAACATCATCGAACCTTTAATGGTGCATAAATTAAAGAACCAAAGGGACGATTAAGGCAACCATTTTTCAATATCAGCTTTTGTTTGTGAGATATAGCCCATTGTAAATTTTAAAATTGATAAGTACACTGTATAAATATAACAATATAGGTGTGAGATATATGTAGGTTTGAATGGCCTCTCGCTGAAATACCTCTATGTTATTTGGAATATACCATCGTTCAACTATCCGCTGCGGCTTCGCTGAATAACACACATTTCAAATGTCCAATTATCCATGACTCTGGAGTAGAAATCAAATTGAATTTGACCGACGGCATGAGTTATGTTGGCTTTTGAGGCAGCTGTGGTTTGTGGCTTATTCGGATAACTTTTTCCTCTTATAGCGCCATGCCTGTTTTCATTATTGATTGCTTGTCTTTCACTACTATGTCTTTTTGAACTTGTGATTACTTAGACCGTATTCTGCCTCATAACCAGTCATTAGTGTCTCTGGGGTCTCACCATTATGATTATCAGATAACTCTTGAATGTATCGTTGCCACTTATTACATCGCTCCTCATTTGTTAACAATGCATCTCCTTTGTCGTTCCCTAGCGACGATAAATTTCTCCTCCTGTATAAACTAGAGTGTCGTTTTAATTTATTTGCAAGATTTTTGTAGCCATATCTCTTTTGCCTGTTTTACCTTTTTATGAATTAAACAATGTGTTTCTATTTATTTTTCATGATTGTTGTTCTTGAGATTTCGTCTTTTCTCCATAAGATTTAATATGTCTTCTGTCAGCCATTCTTTCTTTGGTTTTGCTTCTTTAGTTTTTAATATTTCTTTTGTTCTTTTATTGTTCATCGAGTCTTTTATGTCACTCCAGTTTTCTTCGGTGCTTTGGTTTTCCAGGGATGATGGCATAATTTTATGTATATTACTATTTAGGTTTGAGATAGTTTATTTACGACTTTAGGTTCCTTTAATATCTGTTCTTGTATTTGTAGGGATTTCTCTGGTTTCTTATTTCACCAAAGTTTTGCGTTTAGTATTGAATAGAGTAAATTGTAATCAGAGTGCACATCTGTCCCAGGATAGGTTTTCGTTAACGAATTACAGTTGCTGAAGCGTCGATTAATTAAGATGAAGTTAATCTGTTTTCTCATAATGTATGAAAACCTGCATAAATCGTTTTCCTTGGTCGTTGTATGTACCTACGCTTTTGAATTGCAATCTTTTATAATTAAAGTGTCTCCCATAAAAAGATTTTTTGTTTTTTTTGTCGCTTTTATTATGTTTTTAATTTATTATTAGAACACTAATAAATCAGTTCATCGGTCTCATGGTTAGCAGTAAAAGCGTAGTCGTGTATAATGTTTATAGTTAGAGGCTTAATTGTCAACTGTGCCAGCAATGGCACGAAATTTTATACAACACTGCTGAGGGATTTAGATCTACGAGTAGAACAAATGGACCTACGATCCAAGAAAATCCCACAAAAAAGAGTGGAGTCACACAGACCCACAGACACAAAAGATTTGAAGTAAACGCTCTAGCCCTTCTAGGCATATTAAATCAATAAATATATAACACTATTATACCTAATATCTAATAAATGCTTTTTACTATAACCATCTACCTTAAGTTGTAGAGTATATAAACACAGACTTACCCTATTAATCCTAGGTAAACAATCCAAAATGGAGAACATTAATTTAGCATTTCCCTCTGGATCATCGGGCAGACAAACACCAAGCGCATCTACCATCATCTGATAGAGGCATTTCGTGAAGAGGGGTTCTGGAAGTTCTCTGAGATAATCTTTCAAAACTCCTGTAATAACATTAATGTCCGGCACGTTGTCCGGACTTAGATCAACGGATCTGCTGTTTCTTTCGAAGGCTTCTCTGAGAATGCGCTTCTTGGTCGCGGAGCCACACAATCGATACAAACCTAAAGAGGTATTTTATTAGTTAGTGAGTTATTAACATTATGAACACCTGATAAAACTTTATTGTATCAGGTGTTTTATGATATTTGATAGATAATTAAAAATTACCACTTTTATAAAATCTATTTGATATTTCATAAATTATTTGTCTGAAAGATATTCAGAGGCTAATATATAATTACATAGCCACCGCAAAAAAGTAATTTAAGGCGGCTGCAACTTCGACCTTTAAATAAACAAGTCGACCATTTAGACATTCAATAAATAACCGTTATGATTTGACATTCTCAAATGAAGGATGTTTAGGTAGGTATACTTTATAAAGATTTTTGTAAGAATCACAGTAGACAGCAAATATTTTCGAATATTACGACTGTATCGAAGAGTAAATAGCAAACGGGCTATAACAATTACATTACAGAACGTTTTCGGATTGTTAAATCTATCATCATTGTAAACGAGGTATAAATGCTATGAGCTACCAAAATATATGGGTCAAAACCCTTTAAGTGTTATAAATTTACAGTTGTTTTACATTATATATAGTTACAAATTAAGATGTTTAAGTTATAGTTTGAATTGGTAACATGGCGACGTATGACCCTACATAGGTAAAATGGTCCTGAGACGAAGTGTCTTCGAGGACCTGTTGATAACAACGAGTTGTTATCAACAATTAACAGTTGTTATCAAGAGATAACAACGAGTTGTTATCAACAGGTCCTCGAAGACACTTCATCTCAGGACCATTTTACCTATGTAGCGTCATACGTCGCCATGTTACCAATTCCAACGGTAACTTAAACATCCTAATTTGTAACTATATATAATGTAAAACAACTGTAAATTTATAACATTTAAACATTTAAACATAATATATGGGTTTTGACCCATATATTTTGGTGGCTCATAGCATGTATACCTCGTTTACACTGATGATGGATTTAACAATCCGAAAACGTTCTGTAATGTAATTGTGATAGCCCGTTTGGGCATTTTATTATATACCTTTTATAAAGGATTTGAAATAAATTTTTTGTGATATATGGTATACAGCCAGCTACAGGAATTTAGTTTCCTAGTGGATTTTTACATTTTTTTTCTCTAAACTTTCAATGTTTTTATATTTCCTCTATATTTATGCAGAATTTTGTCGTTCATACATTATGGCTAAAATTGTTGTGTATATGTTAGTTGTTTGTTTATTAGCTATATTTTAATTTCTTTTTTACTATTTTTTACAAGCTTAACTTATTATACTACATGAAATTTACCACTTACCAATAATATCTAGTCCTCTTCGTTCAACTTCTTCAACACACCTTCTTATTATAATAGGAATATTGTGTTGACTACTGGCTACTAATCCCGTTGCTACTCCTCCAGGTACTCCACCAGTCTTACTTTCTCGATTTACCTAAACAAAAGTTAAAAAATAACCAATTAAATTTGTTGAAACCAATTCAATACTTAAAATATTTTTTTTTTATTTTTTTATATTTCGAGTACCTAGTATATATATACATATATATATATATATATATATATATATATATATATATATATATATATTATATATATATATATTATATATATATATATATATATATATATATATATATATATATGAATCGCTTATGTATGAAAGGCCTCTTGTCACAAAATGTAAATTTTGGAAAACAAGAAAAAACTGTTTAGTTTTATAAAAAACGATTTTATACTTTTCTGATTTTTTGAAACATTTTAAGGACCTCAAAACTCAAAATAAATCATGTTCGTTACACTTTTTAAAATCAATATTGTATTTTTTTTTATTATTGAAAATAGCTGACAAAAGCCCTTTCATAAACAAAAGTGTTGTTTTACGGGGAAAGTTTTGATTGGTGGATGAATTTACACCGTGTTTATTTATAAATAATATTACTTTATTTAAACAGTTAAGACAATACAATTAGCTACAATTAATTGCCAATTTATACATTTTTGCTCATTTTTTGGTTGCAACTGTAGGCCATTAGGAAAGCTAATTGTAAAACCACTTGTGTTCTTGAGGGACATACTGCAAAAGTTTCTTCAGGTCATTAATTTTTTCTTGATGGATTGGTACCTTTGATTCATGAGTTGTTTTGCTAATGAGGAAGGGGAGGATGCCTCAGCAATAGACAGTGGATTAGATAATAATTTGAAGGTGTGGCTAATAAATTCACCTATAAAATCAGATAATACAACCACTTCTTTTTTAAATCTTTCGCAAGTAAATTCATGGTAGGAAGAAGTAGTAAACATTTCCTTTTTTTGTTTTTTTCAATTTTACTTTCTTTTGAAACAGTATTTTTCTTGTAAAATTTGAATGCCACCAACTTTGAATGTTCAAAACATTTGCATTTTCCACTAAATCCACAGTAAATTTCATCTATTTTGTAGATGAAAGTATTATTTTGGTTATATCTTTCAAAGTGTAGAATCTATCGTTTCCTTAGGTTTCGTATTACAAGGCCGAAGACACTGTCACATGGCAAATAGGAATGACTCCTTATTGGAAGTCTATAGACAACTTTTTTGAATCTTTCACTATCTGTAAGTTGCGTTAAAAACCTAATTATCGTATGATTTTTATTTTGTCCTGCAAAGGACAAAATCATTTTGTTTATTAGTACAATTCATCTACATTAGCTGGAACATTCTCGTCAATATACTTCTTCAAGAAAGAGCAAACTTCATTACTTCCCTTTCCAGCAATTCCCTGGTGGTATAAATAAAATATTGCAGTGTCATTACTACTATTGTGTATGCCAAACGGATAGACGGACAGTTGTCTAAGGTGTCCTGCACTGGAATCGTGGGAAGCGATATGTTTGGCTTATAATCAAAACATAAAAGCATCGCATTTTCATGTTCGGCAGAGTATTCTTTTGTCTGTCGAAGGGATGAATAAAACTTTTTGCTACGCCTCTTATGCACAAGTAGCTGCGCAACTGCAACTCGTTTTGCTGTTTCATTTAACTGAGGATTTTTTATTGTAGTATTGAGCAGTTCACATTCAAGTGAACAAGTGTCAATTTGGCGCCTTCCAAATCTCTAATTGAAATGTTCGTTGAAACGTTTGTAGTAAAAACTATACTTCGCGTTTAACTCGTTATACTTTTTTTAAAACAAATTAAACATTCTTTTATGTCTAGCTTAGCATCTAGATATTTTATTTCCTTAGAAGAATAGTGACTTGTTTTCAGTGGAAATGACTAAATGTGTTCTTTGACAAGATCCGTATAATCTTGTGAAAGGGTCTTCCGATTATTCTGTTGGCCTCTTATATCTCTACGAGACTTACCTTTCACAAGAAGATCTTGCAGTCTTCTTACTCTTTTTTCACCAATATCGTGCTTTTTGCAGATGTTGATCCTTTTCTGAGGAAGCAAGGCACAGAATTTAAAAGAACTTTTATGCTCAACATAATATTTGGGCTTAAAAAAACACGTCTTCAGCTTCATCCTCGGAAGTGTTTTGTTTTAATTTTGACCTTCTGTACGCGCCCTGCTTGTATTAAGGACTGGTAAAAAGGTCTTGCTCATTTTTGTCTGAAAAGTTTACCCCTCTGCATATAATTTCAACTTTGTCCTCTTCACATAACTTCTCAAAACATCTCAATCTGCATCTTCAACATTTGAAAAAGATTACTGTTGTGGAGTTAAGCTAGGTTTTAAAACTGACTTCTAATTATCATCTTATTTCCTGTCTAAAATAGTACATTATAAGATAAAACGTAACTTACGAGCATGGTAATCTTGTTTTTCGTGGTTCAACAACATTTTCTCTGTTATTTATATATTCTTCACCACGACATCCAGTTTTCTTAATTCGATTAACCTTATATTCTTCTTTGTAACGAACACCCCTCTTTCGCTTCTTACTATCTGCTTCTATTTCAACGACACTTTCACTCGCTGACATTATTTCAAAACATAAGTTAAATCTCTTTAACAATAACTGAAGAGAAATACTTTATTTTATTATTTAACAGTTAATTATAACATAAAACAACAAGAGGTTAATTATTAATCTCCCAAACAGTGAATATCTGTCAACAATTAGCTGACCGCGCAATGTTGCCGACAGTGCTTTTATTTATGAAAAGCCTCTTGTCATTGACACGAGGCTTTTCATAAATAAACAATAATTTTAATCCAATATACCTATCTGATAAAAGAATACCAAGACATGGGGCTTTTTATAAGCAAACGATGTGCAAACATATGGGTTATCATTTTCCAAGTTAAACGATAATTTGAAAAAAAGTGACATGAGGCCTTTCATAAATAAGCGATTCATATATATATATATATATATATATATATATATATATATATATATATATATATATATACATATATATATATATATATATATATATATATATATATATACATATATATATATATATATATATATTATATATATATATATATATATATATATATATACCTATATATATATATATATATATATATATATATATAAATATACATATATATATATATATATATATATATATATATATATATATACAGGGTGGTGAATCGTCAAACGGGCCATAGGAAACTCAATGGGAAATTCTAAATTGTTGAATTCCTGCTTCCCTAATTATTTTACACCAAAAGTCATGGGAAACTATTTGTAGAGGACTCAAATATGTATCGAAAACAACTGTTAAAATTATTCTACGACTTAAAGGTATTCCAAAATTTTGCTAAAATATAATACATTTTTCTGTGAAAAAATGTGTATTACGTGTTGCGTTTTGTCATATTATTGTTTCTGATATTTGACAATATTTAAATCAATTATATTACATTTATCTATGATTTAAATGGCCAAAATTTTGTGATTTATTGTTAAAAAAAAATTAAGTTGATTAAAAAATGTACTCAGTTGAGGAGAAAAAAGCAATAATAAAAATTTTTTATTCATGTTTTATTATAACACTTGTTATAGTTTTATGTTTATAAATTATCATATATTATTATTGGGAAATAATATCACAGTAATAAAGATCACAGTAACAGTATATTGGAATTCATTGAATTGTTGTATAACTTAACTTAACATGGAATTAAATTTTAGTGAATTAGAATATCTTACGTTAAATAAAGATCCGGTAGTGGCAGGAAAAGGTTCGCGCTATTGCCTGAGTACAACACTATGCGATTTTTCGTCAACTGAGTACATTTATATTGATCGATTTGTAAACAATATAATTTATTGTTCACAAAGTAATAATGTTCATTAGTAGTAGTATTTAGTAAAATTCATTGTTTATAATTTAATCATAAAATAAAAAAATTGACAATTCAAATTGTCAAACATCTGACATAAATATGATAAAACACAAACGTCCTAATATATATTCTTGAATTACGTGTGGCCTAACTTTTAGGGGTGGCCTGAAAAAAGTATTATATTTTAGCAAAATTTTGGAATACGTTTAAGTCGTTAGAATAATTTTAACAGTTGTTTTCGATACATATTTGAGTCCTCTACAAATAGTTTCCCATGACTTTTGGTGTAAAATAATTAGGGAAGCAGGAATTCAACAATTTAGAATTTACCATTGAGTTTCCTATGGTCCGTTTGACGATTCACCACCCGGTATATATATATATATATATATATATATATATATATATATATATATATATATTCCTAAGCCCTTTTACCCTAAGGTGTCGGGTGTTATGTCTTTAATTAGTTGCATGCACAATTTTTCTTCATTGCTTTTTATTCTTTGTTTGGTTTCTTGCTTGTTCTTTGCTTATTCCACTTGTCTCTAGGACTGAACTTATTTGTAATTTTTAATTTGAAATTTTTAAATTCCGGGTCTAGGTAGGTTGCTTATAAGGGAGAACAACAGCTTACATAAAATATTGTCCGCTTTTTTGAAATAATCTCATTTTTTAACAAAGGCCTAGTTCGAGTATACAAAATTTGAAAATTATAAATGTTATAATTACAAAATCAAAAATTCATTAAAAAATAATAATACTTACCACAGTTTCTAAATCCACACCAAAAAGCGGTGTGGTCCTAGATAAAGTTAATGTAGAAAGAGGTCTTCTTCGGTATAGATTTTGGGAATCAGTATGTCTCAGTCTCAAATATAGTGTGCCTAAAACATTTATAAAAGAAAATTACTGGTTAAGTTACACAACTATATTCACTATCAATACAAATCAAAATGCATTTTAAAGTTGAAAAGCGCAGATTTTGTACGCAATTTAACAAATAAATATTGCGCGATTTTGCCATTTTTTACGATTTTCATTAGATCAATAAAATGTATTACTTTTATTGACCAGTCGTAGTAAATTTTTTATTATTAGAGCCCAATCTTCAAAACCCAGAACATGAAATGTCGATTTTGAGTTTTGGCAATAAATTTGAGGCATTTGAAATATGCCTAAAAACGTTGAACTTTCACATTACAAACAATCTCAAGTCACAGGTAATTCTTCCATTAAGACGAAGTTAGATGGAATTTGTAGCTGAAGTTGTATAGTTTCGATAAACGTGTGTTTATTCAAAAAGAAGGAGTAAACATTCCAGATCGTTTATAATATGAAAGTTTAAATTTAGCGTTTTTAAGCATCTTTTAATTATCTCACATTTGTTGTCAAATCTTAAATTCGAAATTTCATGCTATAGATTTTGAAGATTAGAGTCTAGCAATTAGAATTATAAAAAATTGCAAAAATGGCGCAACGTATTTTACTCCTTTATAAAAAGCGACTTATACGTATCGATATTATTATTCGATATATCGATATTAAAGCGATATACATATCGTTACCGAACTTTTACCACCAACTGATATTCAATAGCGCTGGTCACTTCAAGCGTTGTTTCTGAAAGAACGGTTCATTCTCCACAAAAAGTGTTTAAAAACATTTTTATTCAAAATTATCTCGGCTATAATTTTTATTTAAAATATTTGTTTCTACAGCGTACAGATCCTTGTTAGATTTTTTCGTTTCCCCATTTTGTGTTCATTTATAGATCGTATATTGTATGTGCCTACATTTAATTGTACGTACCTAATACTATGTACCTTGTATTATATGTCTTTGTATTTTAGTACTTGCCATTACGCATTTGGAAGGGCGTTTTCTTAGCCATGATCTTCCATGTAACGTTTGTCAATACTCTTTATCGTCGGCCAGATGGCAAGGAAGATTCCTATCGTAGTGTCACACCCAGTTGACTTATAGAATTGAGCTTAAAGGATTTATAATCCAGTAATGCCATTAATGCTACTTAATGTCATATCCTCAGTTGATATGCGAGTACCTATTTAGTTTTGCCTTATCTGTTCATCACGTTGTCATCAATCTACAGATCTTCTATGCCTTCTTCACTGGTAGATAGGTACTCTGTTTTCGAGAGGTTAACATAAATATGTCGATTTTTGTGGTTTCTGTTGATAATTTGCTGATACGTTTTCTGACATAAGTTTTTCTAATGTTGTTAAGAGAAATGTTTGTTTAGTTTATTTGATATTGAGTTCCTTCATAATTTTCAGGTTCATACTAATTGGAGCCCATTTTGTTTTACAGTTAGGATGTATTTTGTGTTTCTTGTTTCTCTTTGTCAAATTTTTTATTTTGTTATCCAATTATTATGTATCGTTTATCTATATTTCTTTAATCTTTACTTTTCTACCATTTAAGGCCTATCCGTCCCCAATGAAGCTTCTGACTCGAGCAACGTGGTCTTGACTGATTTTTTGCTACAATATTTGCAGCAACCTTAAGGGCCCTACTTAATTCAAAGCCATTCTCTAACAATTAACAAATAGTTAAAATATTACTTCGGTATTTAGAAAAAATATTTAGATAAATGTACTAAAATAAACTGTTATACTAACCTCTCGGTTCAATTTTAAGTGCTAACTGGTGTATAGGACCGGACTTGAGCAGAGTGGGCAAATAAACGGAACCTTTGTAGCACAACTTGTGCCTGTATTGAGGATCCCAAGAGTAAATCAACAAATCCAGCTCTCTATTGTTAACTAAGTCAAGCTCGAAGCTCTCGTCCCAGTCGAAAACTAGGTCTCCTGTTCTTACCTGAAAATTTAGTTATGATTAAAAATTTAAATTGTTTAAAAAATATATAGATTATATGGGCCATTCAGAAACCAATGGGCCTATGTCCATTTTTTATGTAATTCACGTTTTTCGATTTTCTGGGAATAAAAACATATAATTTTTCAGTAGCCAAACCACTCATTTCAATTATCTTATCCCTTATACCAGAGATGGCAGCATGTGTTCTGTCACGAAAATAAATTTAAAAATAGTTTCAGTTTTCACATAGCATATTATGTCCCGTTGTGCGCGGGAACAGAGTTAAGTAAGGTTAATCGTAGTTTTTTTACTATAAGATACGTTATTTGCGTTCGTTCGTTGTGTTAGAAATTCGCCTAACCAGGTATAAATAAATTGTTATTGAAAATTAAAAGACAACAATGAGTGAATCTGAATATTCTGGATCAGATTATGTACCGAGTGAGGAATGTGCTTCCGATACAAGTGTTGAAAATGAAATTCCTGTACCTGATGATGAAGCAGGACCGTCTCGAGTTATTTCAGTTTCTAATAATAATGATCAAGAAGATCACGCCACTGATAGTGAACAAATACGAGGCCGAAAAAGACCACGCCATCCGGAACTTTGGAAACGAAAGAAAAAACAGCTTAGCCCGTGCTCATGGGGGCAAATATGTGAATCGTAAAGGTAAAACAATTGAAGCAAAAACTTTCAAGAACGATGATTGTTATTGTAGACTAAATTGTAACTTAAAAATAACGTTTGATCAACGACAGAAAGTGTTTAATTCATTCTATGCACTGGGCGATTAGCAAAAACAAAATATATTTTTGAGTGGTATCATACACTCTTCAGTCGTAGCTAGACATCGACCCAGAGAAACAGTAACTTCAGGTTTGCCAAAAGAAAAAACCCTACACTTTAGTCTTAAAATAAATGGAGAAAACATTAAAGTGTGTAAGAAGTACTTCAAAGCGACGTTTCAAATCAGTGATCACCGAGTGCGTAATAGTGGCGGCAAAAGTGAAATTTGTGGTTTACGATCTGTAAATGTGTTATCACCAAAGAATAAAGTTGACGTGTCTAAAGTAGTTGAACACATAAACTCCATCCCAGCATATCAAAGCCATTATACGCGGACACACAATCCAAACCGTAAGTATTTGCATCCCGATCTGACTATCAGAAAAATGTATAACATGTACGTGGACAAATGTAATAATGAATGGCAGGTAACACCTGCAAAAGAAAAAATGTATTATTCGGTATTTTCCACTAAGTTCAATTCACATTTTAAGCAACCCTTGAAAGATATTTGCTCAAAGTGTGATGCTGCACAAGTTACGTTGAATAAAGCTATAATATTAGACGAAGAAAAACGAAAAGTTGAAATTAAAAATGAATTACATAAGGAAAGCTGAGCAAGCTCGAAGTGCCTTAAAAGTGGACAAAGAAAAATCAAGTACCCATTACTATGTTTTTACATTTGATTTACAAAAGGCTCTGGCATTTCGCAAGCTAACCACGTCTGTGGCGTATTATAAAAGAAATATGTATGTTTATAATCTCGATGTGCATCCTTATCATACAGGCACTCGATACATGTATGTTTGGTCAGAAGTTGATGGTTCTCGAGGATCTCAAGAGATATCTGCATGCCTGAAAAAACATTTAGAAAATCATGCAAATGACGCTCATCATATTGTAATGTATGCAGACTCCTGTGGGGGTCAAAACCGTAACATTAAGTTGACTCTTACACTAATGAAGTTGCTGCAGTCATCGATAATAAGATCAGATATTATAGACATAAAATTTGTGATAACTGGCCATAGTTATTTGCCTAATGATGCCGACTTTGGTATCATTGAAAGCAATGCCAAAAAACATTCAGTCATTTATGATGCAGATGATTGGTATAGCATAATTAAAAACTGCCGACCTACTACCAAACAATTCGAAGTAACAAAAATGGATAGGAGTGATTTCCTGTCAACTTTACCTTTAGAGGAAGCTATAGTGAATCGCAAAATAAGTGACGACAAAGTAAAATTGAACTGGCTGAATATGCGATGGATTCGCCTAGTTAGATCTAAAATGTCAGTCATTTATTTTAAAGAAACCCTAAATGACGATGTCCAATTCGATGAAGTTTGTGTTGCAAAACGTTCAAGAGGAAAAAATAAAGTTGAGCACCTCTTGAACCTACAACTTATTCATTAGCCGCTACTGTATGAAGCAGACAGACCTGTAAATTTTCAAAAAAAGAAAGATATGCTTAGTTTGTTGAAGTTTGTCCCCCCTAATAAACACAGGTATTTTCAAAAACTCAGAACAGTAAATGTAAGACAAACGCCTGAGATTGCCCCATTAGTAGATATAGATGAGGAAAATGATGAGATTCAGTACCAAGATGATAATGTAAATGGATAAGCACGTAAAATGTTGCCGTTCAGAATAAAGATTTATGTTATTTTTATTTGCGTTTGTATTCCTATTGCATTCAAATTTTGCTCAGTTAATAAAACTTTGAATTTTTCTCACAATTTTCTTTCCAGTACCTACCTCAAAAATGTATAATAGTAGGCTCTTTTCAAGTCAAACGGACATGGTTAATTTCGTAGTTCAAAAATGTTCAGATGCCAAATCGATTAAGTCCAGTAAAATCTAATTTTTCTTTAATATCTAAATAAATATGTAACTAAAAAAAATATTACTATAGGAATAAATATTTGCAACGTTTTTAATGAACAAGTATAGGCCATAATAATAAAAAATGTGTTTATCTTATAATATTATCAGTGTCAACACTAATATTGCTCTCTTGAAAAATTTATAAAAAGGGACATAGGCCCATTGGCTTCTGAATGGCTCATATAAAGATAACAATTTTTCATTGATCAAGACATCTTTGTCTTTGTTAGGTTTAATTACAGACCTACTATTTAACTTTAGTTTTTAACTAGTCGGATGAGATTAGTTAACTCTTCTTGACTATTTACAAAAATTGCTATGTCATCTCTAAAACGTAGGTTGGTTCTTTTTCGGACATTTATTGAGATGCTCTGTGTCCATACTTCAAGAGATAATCTTATAATATGGTACCCATATATACTAAATACATTTGGAGATATAATAAATCCTTGATTCTTTTATTATTTGTATTATTCAGAAGGTATTCTTGAGCACCCTTACCTTTGGTAAATCCAGCTTGCTCCTGGGGCATTTCTCTTTGCAGGCAAGTTTTCAGTCTATCATTGATTATATGTGGTAATATCTTGCTGCGTGTGAGATAAGGGAGATATACTCATTTCCCTTAATCAATTATTTAAATTTTCCATTATAAAACCTCTAGTGTTTTTTATTTTAAAAATTTGTTTATTGACTAAATCCACCTGAAGAGACAAACTTACCACTGTTCTAGCTTTATGTACACGATCACATTCTAGGACGCAGTAAAGATCACGTACGGCTGTTGGACCTAAAAAACGAATACCATTAAAATTATATATTAGATATAAAATAGTAAATACATACTACATATATTCAAAACTCATAAAAAATAATTCTTTGGTTAAAATTCAAATTGAACATTTACCTGTGATAGCTGCTGGTGCTCCTCCACTAGGAGTAACGGGAGTAGTTGCAGCTGACGTTCCAGTAGAGGGTCTTAAACCTCTGCCAGCAAGTAAATGAACCCAGAGCATACCGCTGATAGGTTCATCGGAAGGCATTCCTCCGGGACCTGCTGCTAGTTGAGATAAACCTAAAATAAAGATGATCTCTGATTAGTAACACAAATTAAAATCAAATCCGCTAAAACGCTAAAACAATAAGAAATAATATACTTTACTTAAACTTCAAATGAATTATATTTAATTTACGGTAGCCTAACATCGGAGTCTGAAAACTTAGTTAAGAAGAATAAACAGGACTTAGTCCTTAATTAAAATTAAGAAGAATGTGTATTAATAAAAAAGTAGTACGAATCTTTAATAGACGTATTAAAACGTTAAAATTGTGCCAATAATTTGGAATTAAAAAATAATATTTAGCACAATATTTTAATTACAGCAATGTATTTTATTTGTAAGGGTTAACAAATAAAATACATTGCGGTAATTAAAATATTGTGCTAAATATTGGATCGATTACTTTATTACTGATAAAAGATACATATTTACAGATGTGACAGTGCTAAATAAATTTGCGAAATCAAGCGACCATCGTATGGTGAGAGCCACAATTGTGTTAAACACCAACTATGAACGACACAATATGATAAAAAAGAAGCAAATAAACATATGGACACATCCAAACAACGAAGAAAATTTTAAAGATCATATCGGTAAATTTCTTCAAGAAAAATCATCAACAAATGATATTAACATTCTAAATGACATAATAGTAGAAGCAATAACAAAAGCTCAAAAGAAATGCTGCCCAAAAAGCGTGAAGGAAGAAAAAATTAGTCTGGAAATACAGAAAAAAATGGAACAAAGAAGAATACTGAGATGCGACGAAAACTCTAGTAACGACGATATAAATAGAATGAACAAGGAAGTATCAAGAGAAATCAGAAAAGACCTAAGAAAATACAAAGATGAGAAAATCCTCAAAACCATTGAGGAAAATAAGAGTATGAAAATAATGAGACGCAAACTCACAAACAGAAATAAACAAATAGTCAAACTCAAGGATAGAAATGGCAACATCACATAAAACAGAGAACATTTGTAACAAATTGTGAAATCATTCTATGGGAAATTATATAGCAACCAATCGACTCTAGATATAGTTGAATATCAACAAAAGAAGGATCAAAATCAGGGTTCCGAAGATATCCCAGAAATCTTCTTGGACGAAATTTACAAGGCTCTAAAAAAGATGAAGAATAACAAAGCTCCGGGGGAGGACGGTGTCGTCACGGAGGCTTTAAAGATGGGAGGCTCAGTACTGATAGCCAAAATTCAAAAGCTCTTTAATCTATGCCTATGGAATCAATATATCCCAAAAAAGTGGAATAATTTAATAACTGTACTCTTACACAAGAAGGGAGATATAGCAGACTTGTAAAGATATAGACCAATCAGTCTCCTTAACCATCTTTATAAACTATACACTCGAATAATAACGAACAGATGAGAGACGAACCTGGATTTTTACCAACCTCGGGAACAAGCTGGCTTTAGCCCTAATTACGGCACAAACAATCACCTGCAATGCCTAAAAACCCTGATAGAAAAAACTAACGAATATAACCGTCCCTTGGCATTGATGTTTGTAGACTTTAAAATGGTGTTTGACACAGTGGAACTACCGTCCATCTTAAGAGCACTACAAGATTGCAGGGTCGACCACAGATATTGTAATATAGTCAAAAATATATATGAAAATGCCACAACAACCATAAGTCTACATTCTGCAACTATTATAATAAAGATAAAAAGTAGAGTCAGGCAAGGTGATACCATGTCACCAAAGCTGTTCATTACCGTTCTTGAGTATGCATTTATGGCAAGTGTTCCAGAACTATATCTCCAAACCAATAATTCTATTTTGTATCAAATAATTCTATTTTCGCGTCGGTTACCTAAATAAATCCAGTCTACCTAGACCTTGTTTCTGAGAATGTTAATCCCCGCCCACAGCGCCTACTTGACGACAGACCGGCTTTTCAAAATGCATAAACAAAAAAATATTCCAGCGGGGCGAGGGAGGCGACCAGTTACACCGACAGTGATTTAGCGACTTTCGTAGGGCTTACATCTATATTTTAAAGTTCGGAGAGGATTCTCCACGTGGCTGTTTACGCTATTGGCCGGGAAGCCGTAATATGTGAATAAGTGTTATGGTGTTTTCGCTTTTGTTCGCAAATTGTAATATTCAAATTAAGTTCCTACGATAAGTTACACACTCAAATTTTATAAGTTCTACTTCTTGCCCTTTCTTATTTCAATTACAGTTTCTTTCTAAACAAGTAATTGTTTTATTTCACTATATCAATTCAACAGGCCAGATAAAAGTAACTTTGAAAGTCCATTTTAGTTTCTCTACTGAGCTGTCGAAGGCTAGCGGACTAATTGTGCTTACAGCAAGAACAAAGCCGCTGAAAGAGACACTATTGCATATAAGCCTCTCCATGGAAGGAATGTTGTAAACCGGCACCCTCCAGCAAGAGAAAGGAATATCCATTGATGGAGAAATATTAAACCATCTACGTTTTGCGGACGATATCGTGCTTCTGTCAGATAATCTGGGAGAGATCTAAGACATGATTCAAGAACTGAATGACATACTACAAGAAACTGGGCTGAAGATAAATTTCGAGAAAACCAAAATGATGACCAATATGGTTCCCAGCGAAGAGATACAGATTAATAACAACAAGGTCGAATTAATCGATAAATACACATAATTGGGTCATGAAATTAGAATAACTAGAGACAACCAAACCTGCGAGCTAAATCAACGAGACGAATCACGTTGGGATGGGCAGCATATGGAAGGATCAGAGACATTTTTAAAACAAATATCCCAATTTGCCTGAAAAGAAAGACATTTAACCAATGCATCTTACCAGTCTTGACCTATGGAGCAGAGACCCTAACTTTAACGAAAGCTACTGCCAAAAAACTGAGGGTAACACAAAGGCGAATGGAGAGATCAATGCTGGGCTTGACCTTGAAAGATCGCGTGAGAAATGAGGAGATACGCCGACGAACTGGCGTTGACGATATTATACTGCGAATCAATAAACAAAAGTGGAGGCGGGCTGGACATGTTGCTAGAATGGAAGACGGAAGATGGACGAAGAGATTATTGGAGTATAATGGATGTAAAAATGGGGCTGGATGATGATGATGAATGTATTTTATTTATAAGTTATAAAGGTAACTATAAAAATGTTCTAACTGAAAAACAATCAACAAAAATTAACAAACCGTTGGATAAGTAAAAAAACATGCAATAAACCTGTTCAAACACTGGCTCTAATGTATTATTAGCTCTAAAGCTAATGGAAAAAATCCATCTCAGGGTAGCCAATAATTATCAGGGTATTTGCATATTAGCTTTTTTTAGTACATATGTTACAGACAATAATGTAAATTGGATATAACGACCGATTATTGTCGTGGATGTCCATTTTCCCCTGTTACTAACAACAATTTCCGGACTCTAACGACAATAACATTAGCTATAGGACAATGTTGTAAAAAATTAACTTAAAATTAGAGTTTTCATAAACAATTGGTCAATAACGACAGTGGTCAGAAGCAAATGGCCAATGTTGATAAATAAATAAAATTATCCATGATGTACTATTTTTTATTTAAAACAAATGTTGAAGACTAATCATTTTTATTTTGTCAATATAGTGAACCATGCATTTTAAATTACCAATTTTATTATTTGCACGACATGCACAACACTCATTATTTTTACAACCACCTTTGCATTGGCAATGCTTGTAAACTAACCAGCCTAGTATGCTATTTTCTATTGCAGCTTGTCTAGGAGTTATTTCCTTCTCTCTTTTTTAATCACTTACATTTTCCAATAAAACTAATTTTTCGTTACATGGAAAAAACTAGGACCTTACGAACTGTTTTTATACACCACTTTTTGTACCTAAAATAATATACATGTCGATAAAAATTAAATTCAAATAAATTAGGCAACCAAAGCTAAAATAATACGAGAAAAACTCTGAGCTCTATCTACATCTGGACTTGATACACGGACTGTTGTGCTCACTTCTACATCTTGATATTTACATCTACATCACTGGAAAACTTAATCATTTTTGTAGCTTGCGAATATTATTTTCAAAATCCCCTCCGTTTCCCGAATATTATTTTTTTGGTTCTTTGGACGACTCCAATTCATTCATATATATATATATCCCGTTTATAGCGTAATCCGCCTTTGGGTTCCCGTTCGCCAAGCCTGTCTATTCTGCCAGTCTTCTTCAAATAGATTTCTTGCTGACATGGCTTTTGAAATTCCTTGCATCCATGTTGTTGGTGGTCGTCCTCGTTTTCTTTTCTCTGGTGGTACCCATTCTAATATTTTTTTTGGTAGTCTTTCTTCCCCCATACGTCTAACATGTCCGTACCATGTCAGTTGTTGTTTTTCGATGTCTTCTATAATTGATCTTTGTACATTCATTTGATTTCTTATGTCCTCATTTCTCACATGTTCTAATCGGGACTTTCCCGCTGCTCTCCTCCAAAAATCCATTTCAACTGCCAAGAGGTTACCTTTAAGTTTTTGTGATAACTGCCATACTTCTGAGCCATACACGATTACTGGTTTCAATATTGTGTTATATATTCTTTTTTTCGTTTCCGGTCTTATATTTTTCTGCCATAGTACTAAATTCAATGCACCTATAACTCGTTTCAATTCATTCATCAAGGCTTTAATATCTTCTGCAAAAAACTTGCCAATTTCATCAAAAGGAATACCAACAGAAGCTATTCCCACTCTTGCTGGGCATCCAAACATCGCTTCGTAGGTTGATCTACCCATTTCTTAAATTAGTACAATAATTAAATTAATAGTTACATTTAATTAATTTTGGTTCTTTGTTACTGCGATAATTTTAAAAATTATAGTTTATTTATTAACCTAAATAAAGTACTCGATTATTTAAACTGAATTAATTTTATTCCCAAAGGCCAATCTGCAGTTTAATTTTCATCCATTCATGCCCCTAATTCAATGAACAATGTTTTTAAAAGTCATCCACAAAAGGTTTTACCGGAAATGCGAGAAACAAATTGCGCCTAATCAGTTTGGATTTGTGAACGCCGTTGGTATGAAAGAAGCTTTATTTAGCGAGGTATTGTTTCCGAAATGTAGAGATGTCAGCTATAATGTTTTTGCATGCATTATTGACTACAAGAAGGCTTTCGATAGAGTCGGGCATGAACAAATTATGGAAGTGCTGAAGAGGACAGGGATTGACGGAAACGACTTAATTATAATAACTAATCTGTATTTAAATCAATCAGCTGTGCTCCGAATAGATAGAGAATATACAGATCAGGTCAAAATCTTAAGGGTAGTGAGACAGGGATGCATATTTTCACCACTGATATTCAATCTGTACCCGAAAGACATTTTTGAAGATTCTCTAAAAGATATTAATGAAGGCATCTCAATAAATAGAGTTAAGCTCAATAATCTGCGGTATGCAGATGATACAATAGTGTTTTCCAATTCCATAGAAGGGCTGCAAAACCTAATAAACAAAATAACGAAACAAGTAGAACATATGGACTGGATATAAACATCAGCAAAACCAAGCTAATAATCATCAGCAAGGAAAATATAACTGGAGCGAATCTGTATGTGAACCAAATGAGAATTAAACGTGTCTTACAATATAACTACTAGGAACTATAATCAATGAGTCGTGGGACAATACCCAAGAGATTAAATATCGCATAAGAAAGGCAAAAAGTGCATTCTTGACTATGAGCGTTGTGTTTAAGAGCCATGACGTTGTGTTTCACCATAGTAACAAAAATAATGCTCCTTAAATGTTATATACACTCTGTGCTTCTATACAGAGTAAAAACGTGGACATTGAAGGCGCAAACTCTATCAAAACTTTAGGCTTTTGAGCTATGGTTATACAGAAGGATCCTGAAGATACCATGGACAGACAAAGTCACCAATAAAGAAGTACTGCTGAGGAGCTGCAGTACTTGGGTTATATAATGAGAAATCAAGGCAGATACGAGATACAAGGTACAATTGAAGAAAAAAGGGTCCCAGGATGAAGAAGAATATCCTGGCGTGCTAACATGAGAGAATGGTATAGAAATAATTCAACACAGTTATTTCGTATACACCAACAAAGTCATCATAGCCAGAATGATCGAAAACGTTTGGAACGGACAGGCACACTAAGAAGAATCGGAACGTAAACGAAGAGGTACACCAAACGTTGTGTAAATTTCCAACAAATTTAGTAAAATTTCTCCAGCATTTCTCTTTTTGAAAGGTTTCAAGATTACAAATTTCGTAAGCGACATAATTTTTTGACTGCATGTCAATCCTTTTCTTGAGTTACTATCCTTTTTCGGATACTGCAAACAAAGAGGTAGGTAAACCATTATTCTTTTGTTAGTCACATTACAATAAAGTTTATTCATTTTGGAAACCATAGCCGCCATGCCCAATTGCTAAACGCATTATGAATTATATCAAATAATTCATCAGTAGTAGCATAATTTAACAGTTTAGACTGAGTGTTTTCATCATCTGCCATAATCAGTCGTTCTTTGTCACTTATTGTTATTACAAACCATATTTAATTACATTCCTATTTACAAACCATTATATAGTGCTTTGTTGTTTTTTTAGCATCAGTTGTTCCTAAAAAAATTTTTCACTTCTCTAATTTCACCTTTTCGGCTCTTGTATTCCACACAGTTTAAAAATGATTTATTTACACATAGAAAATGACTAATTTAACAGGTCATTGTGGATATTGACCGGTTATTAACGTTATTGACCGGAGTTACGTTATTGTCCGTAACCTATATAGGGAGGCATGGTGAGAATCTAGATAATTTTGAATAGAGCCAAAGAAGTCTTAGGACATAAATAAAAATAAAAATGCTGTTTTCTGTTTATAGACATGCATCCCAAGGCCACATTATCTACGTTATATGCGTTTTACAAGCAAATATACATTTGTGTGTAATTTTTTATTTTTATTAGCTGCTTTCCAGCGAACTATTCGAGAATTTTATGCAATACTCTGTGTATAAACCATTTTTTTATGCAGTTACAAAACTCATTATAATGCTTTTATAAAATTAGTTTTGTTATATATTTCAATCAGACACACATCGATTTTGCTTTCAGTAACAGGAAAATGTAATTAAATTACACGAATATTTCGAGAATGTTTTATAAAATAATGTATTTATTGATCCCTCAGCGATTTCGATTTAAAGATATATTCAGCTGCATATAGTGAATTAAATGATATCCGGGTTACGGTTATTTCTGAGGCTTTATAAAATTTCTTTCAAAAAAGACAATACAAGATCAAACAAAAAATCTTGACCTAGATATACGACCAGCTATACCAACCTGTTATCGAGGTCCCTCCTACTAATCCAGCGGGCTTGTCGAGCTTGTATTTTAGGAATTCAGCGGGGTTGATGTCAAGTTGTCTTTGACCTCGCGGAAGTGTGCCACTAGGAGTCGGCACTGGACTCGGGGCGCCAGTTCTTACGGAATCCAGGTCGAGGAGCTGTCTCATTCGCCGCATAGATGGAGATCTCGAACTACTTAGAGCTAAAATATTTCTTTATATTAATTTGTTTTTTATGCAAAACTTTATAAGAATATTTAAAAAATAATTTCTAAATAGAAATCAGCTAAACATCAATACGCTACATAATACTATAGAAATGTTCCTAAATAATGCCACCGAAAATCTGCTATGAATGGATTTAAATTTAAAACTTATACTCCTTTATACCTACACGGTGTCAACGAAAATACTGCGTTCCTTAAAGGTATAGGTAGAAGGCACCATGTAGAGCAAAAAAGTTCAATAACATTTTTTTCTAAATTCAACCGTTTGACCAAAAAACAAAAATACATTTTGGCTTGCAATAAGGAATCTGTCAACTACGTGCAGTATGAAAATTTAAACGCAGACAGTCACAATTTCAGTAAACAGATAGTTTGGAACAATGATTTTTAGTGTCACCTTCTTCTTGGCTAAGGAAGGTTGGCAATAACCATTGCAAATTCGTCGCTATCTTCTGCTTTTCTTAAGAGCGTCTGTGTGTTTAACCCGGTCCAGCCGCGAATGTTTTTCAGCCAGGATATTTGTCGTCTACCAGGACCTCTTTTTCCTTCGATTTTTCCCTTCATAATCAGCTGCAACAACTCGTACTTATCATTTCTAAGTATGTGCCCCAAATATGCTGTCTTTCGCCTTTTAATGGTTGTCAAAAGTTCTCTGTCTCTTCCCATTCTGTGCAACATCATTTCGTTAGTAATATGATCGGTCTATTGAAATTATTTGGGCCCTAGATGACGTCGGAGTGGATATCAAATTTGTCAAAGAGTGTGGGAGACACTTAAATGGCCTGAGGAATGGACACAATCACTATATATTCCCATACGTAAAAAGGGAGCAAAAGATTTATGTAGCAACTATCGCACAATTGTTCTAATTGCGCATTGCAGTAAGATACTCTTACACATAATTCTCAAGAGGATAAAGCCCTTTTTACTACCTAACATTGAGGAGAAACAAGCAGGTTTCGGCCCCGGACGTGGTACTAGAGAACAAATTTTAAACGTATAAATTCAACATCACAACATATTTGTGCTTCATAGATTATAGTAAAGCTTTCGATTTGGTCAATTGGAGTAAAATGTGGCAGGTTTTTGCACAAAGCGCAAAAAGTGCTATTGAAAAAATAACAAAAATTTGGAAAAGCCATGAAATAACTACCGATACAAAAATAAGACTAGTAAGAAGTCTAGTTTTTACTTATGCATCGGAATGCTGGATCCTTACTGAGAAAAACAAAAAGAACATAGATGTATTTGAAATGTACTGCTGGAGACGAATGCTGAGAATACCATGGGTGGCCCGAAGAACGAATGAATCCATACTTTACCAGCTAAACATAAAGAAAAGACCAAGAACACAAATATCAGAACAAATAATAAGATATTTTGGACATGTGCTGCGAAGAAATGGTCTTGAAAAACTTACCATCCAGGGAAAAGTAGAAGGCAAAAGAAATATAGGTAGATCTCCCACACGAAACACGGACCATATTGTTGCTACTATTGGCGTGTAACGATGAGTCCAAACCATCACCGTTAAACCAGCGTGCGCGCGAACCAACCCATGAAGTAGGAGTGTATCGACAGTAGAAAGGGCAAAACTTCGCTATATAAACCGCAACATTTCCTCATAGAGGCAGAATCGACAGGTGTTGACTGAAGGTTCTCTTCTTCCCTACCCCGGCTTGTGGACGTGTTGAGTTCACAAGTTCTTCCGTCCCATACCGACTTTACCCGGAGAGCGTGTTGAGCTCTTCATTACCCGTACTCTGAAGCAGTCGTGTTGAGACTGTCGAGGAGTGTCTTGTTAACCCGAATCACTTAAGGGACGTGTTGAGTTCCTTTCCTTTCTTTGTAACTATCGTCCGCTGTTATTAAGTCGATACAGCAGCGTTCACGTAAAATTTCAAAAACACACTCGCTTGCCGATAACACTAATTTCATACAACAAGGTCAAACTTAATTTGAATAAATAGGCCAGGTACTGAGAAGACTAAACCAAATTGTAAATATGTACATAAGATTTTTGTCAATTTAATTTAAGGAAGACAATAAAGTTTTATTTCTATTTTGAACTCTGTCTCTGACTGTCCAAAAGCTACCCGGATAGTGACTCCTACGAGAGGACGTCACAAATGGCACCCGAGCAGAAAAATTCGTTTTAAACAATAATACCGACCGAATTCCAAATTTTATTTTCATGACACAGTACTGCATTTCAAACTTTATTCAAATACAGGGTGATTCACAGTTCAAAAATGACAGACGCTCCGGAAACGTCGAAGGTTAGTTGGGTGCACCTATTAAAGAAAGACGAACTTATAGCCGAATTAACAAACAGAGAACAGTCGACGGAAGGGAATTTCAGCGAGCTAAGAGCGAGATTAGTTGCGATCATCAAGGCACCAACTCAAAAAGGCCAAAACCCGGAGGAAATAGAAGAAAACCAGATGGAAGACAAACAAAGAAAGTTGGAAATAGTACGCAAATGGGGGTTACACTTTGACGGTTCAAGAGACCCAATAGAATTCATAGAACGGTTGAAAGAACTCCAGACAGCTTACGGCCTACAAGACACCCACGTTTTACAAGCTCTACCAGAAACATTAAACGGGAAAGCATTACTATGGTACAGAAACAATAAAAAATATTGGAACAATGTGGAACAAAAAGCGACAGAAAAGCTTTAAAGATCACGCTGGCAGATGGAAAAACCAGCAACATAGAAATCTATTTTACAGCAAAATGTTCCATAGACAACGTTTGGAGAAAAGCCAAGCTACATTTTTTACCAAACCTAGCTTCAGAAGTAGTACTGGGAATGCATGAATAAACACATTAAAGGAACAACACATCTAACCGAACATACAATAAAACTTAAACATAATACACCGATCAAACAAAGATACAGGCCCCGAAACCCGGCAATGCAGAAGATCATAAACGATGAGATAGATAAGATGCTAGAAGAGAACGTGATAGAAAAATCTAATAGCCCGTACAGTTCCCCCATCGTCCTAGTAAAAAAGAAGGATAACAACGGATACAGATTTTGCATCGATTTTAGGAAAATCAACGACATCTCAGAAAAAGATGCCTACCCATTACCGTACATCAATCATATCCTAGAAAAATTAAAATCTGCAAAATATTTTACCACGTTAGATCTAAAAAATGGATATTGGCAAGTACCACTTTCCGAAGCAAGCAAACCCTTGACCGCTTTCATAGCACCAGGAAAAGGACTATTCCAGTTCAAAGTACTTCCATTCGGATTACACGCCGCCTCCGCTACTTTTCAACGATTACTAGATACAATAATCGGCCCAGAAATGGAACCACATGCATTCGCCTATTTAGACGACATAATAGTACTGGGGAAAACGTTCGAGGAACATATGGAAAACTTAAAAGAAGTACTTCACAGACTACAGCAGGCCAAACTACGAATTAATATAGACAAATGTAAATTCTGCAAAGAAGAGATAAATTATTTAGGCCATGTAGTAAACAAAACGGGAATAAAAGTGGACGAAAACAAGACAAAAGCTATAGTCGAATATCCCGCGCCAAAAACCGTTAAACAACTACGCCGATTTTTGGGCATCATCTCATGGTATAGGAGATTTATAAAAGATTTTTCACGAACTACAGCCCCTTTAACAAAGCTACTAAAGAAAAAACAACATTGGACTTCTGACAGAGACCAAGAGGAAGTATTCAACAAAATAAAATTACTACTGACACAAGCTCCAATACTGATCTACCCGGACTTCCAGAAAAGATTTTTTTTACAATCGGACGCTTCGAACCACGGTTTAGGAGTAGCTTTAGTACAAACAAATGACGAAGGACAGGAACAAGTCATCGCTTACGCAAGTCGAAACCTAACAAAGGCCGAAAAAAATTACAGCGTGACAAAAAAAGAACTACTAGCGATCATCTTCGGTGTAGAAAAGATGAAACCCTACATCGAAGGATACCCATTTTCAATTATCACAGATCATCAAAGTCTACGATACTTACAAACAATGGAAAACCCTACAGGTAGAATAGCTAGATGGGCAATGCTGCTGCAACAATTATTTGACTTCGATGTCATTTACAGAAAGGGCTCCCAGAACGTCCTGGCCGACGCGCTCTCTAGAGAACCAGTAGATCTGGTTTGCATAATAAACGTAGAAGATGTAGAACCCGACGAATGGTACAATAAAGCTTTAAATAAAATCCAGACAAATCCGCAACTATTTCCAGACTACTCTATCAAAGATGGACTTCTCTATCGACACTTCTGGGACAAATACGATTTAAAAGAGACAGAGGTATCCAACCCCTGGAAACTATGCATCCCAAACCACAAGAGACAACAACTCCTGGCAGAAAACCACGAGCAACCGACCGCAGGACATCTAGGAATAGCTAAAACAATAACCCGCCTCGCTAGAAAATACTACTGGCCAGGGATGTTTAAAGACGCCGCAAAGTTCGTCAGGAACTGCAAGAACTGTCAGCAATTTAAGCCGCAACAAAGCTTAACTCCAGGCCGCATGCAATCTACACAAATTCCCCCACATCCATGTCACACCGTTTCAACCGACATCATAGGACCCCTTCCAACATCCAGCAAAGGAAACAAATATATAATGACATTCCAGGACACCTTTTCAAAATGGGTCGAAGCCATACCGATCAGAACAGCAACGGCAAAATCAGTCTGTCAGAACTTAAAAGATAAAATCATTATGAGATTCGGAGAGAGCTAATATCAGACAACGCAAGAACATACGATAACAGGGAAGTACGAAAGTTGCTAGACGAATTCCAGATTTCTGAAAGAAACATTCCGCCATATTCACCCCAGAATAATCCAGTAGAAAGAACAAACAAAGTAATCAAAACAATGATAGCTCAGTTCTGCGATAATAACCATAAGAAATGGGACACGAG